CTGTTCAAACTGGGACTAAGTGATAGTCCCACTTGTGAGAGGTGTCAGATAGAAAATGAAACAGCCACACACGTCCTGTGTGAATGTGAGGCTTTAGCTTCTTTAAGACTACGTCACTTGGGTCAGTACTTTATGGAACCAAGTGACTATTTCGACGCCCCCACGTCCAAAATCCTGCGCTTCATCCGAAGCGTGGGGTTGCTGAGGGAATAATTAAAAAGGGGAAGCACAATGGACCACTGAGGTCTAAGTGCAAGGGCCGAATAGGCCTACCTCTTCATACATACATACATACATACATACATAGGAGGTCAAAGCTGCGAAAGTTGCAGTATGAATACTTACCCTTGCATGGCTCCACGAACAAATAATGTGCCTTTTCTTTGCGGCGTCAGCATCGTCTCGGCCTCGCAGGTCGAAACTGCGAAACCTTGGGGAATTTTCTATTGACTTATGGGCCCTTCAGATGCAAAGTCCGCGGAAATTAACTTATGCCTTTCCAGTAACCACGCTTCCAATTAATTGTTCTTGAAACATCAATCCAACATTTCGGCGATATCATCCAGGAGTTTTAACTGTGATTGTGAACCAGCTATTACTGAGCAGTGACTTCAAATTTTCACTAGCTAGATTATCCGAAGGCATTAAATTAAAATTACATTCCTCAGTTTCCATCGATTTGTTTTGTTTTCGGCATGTATTGGCGGTCCTACTAAGCTTCTCAAGAAAAGGCTGCGCCATAGCTCAAGCGGTTAGTAGCTGGCTTCCCACCGCGGCGGCCCGGGTTCAATTCCGGGTTTGGTCAAGTGAAATTTGTGGTGGACAAAGGGGCGCTGGGGCGGGTTTTCTCCGAGTACTTCAGTTTCCCCTGCCAATCTTCATTCCACCAAATTCTCCATCATCATAATCACCCGAGGCGGATACAATAGGCCAATCAGTGACCGTCGTGCCAAGTGTATCCGGTTGGACACCACCCACCTCTAGCAAATTAAAAAAAAAAAAAAGCTTCTCAAGAACCACAACCCGTATACCCGAAGAGTTCAATTCTCTGGAATATAACACCGTGCAGCCCATTAAAAATAAGCCGTCGTTTTAAATAAGCAAAGCAAGAACCCAGCAAGAAGCAGACAAGTACAGCTCGCTACCTTCTTCATGCTGGCTTCTTATTTGTCTTATTCTTTGACTCTGAAGATGGAGATGGTATGTTCATCCGAAACGTCCGTTGATTTTCATCGGAATACACGACATTATATCGTAGAAGAACTCTTCATAACGACCGCTGTGAGAACCTTAAATCCTACATACGTTATGCACGAGTTCTCACTCTCTTACCGGAAATAACTGAGCTATCTATTCGCCTTACCTCTACCTTCCACCACCACGCCCAGACCTCTTAGGAGATTAAAGGTGGAAGCTGGGAAAACCAAAATTCAACAGCTATATGAGCCCAACTAAGACGGTTATGAACTTTCGGGTCCCGTGAAAGGCAGGGAATATCTTAACCAGCTGAGGGACAGTTAGCGTTTTATGTAGGAGTCACGCGGTAGTGGTCTATTTTATCCCGCTGTTTGCCCAGAAGGACTGTGGAATGCGCCGAAAAATCACAGCCATGGTAATCGGTGTCCCGGCCGAAATTCGAACCGAGTCCTTCCAAATGTACTTTAATAACAAGCCCGCGAGTGATTTTCAAGATCTGAACCATATCATGATCACAAGAGAGGAATAAAGAAAATGTTGCCGTCTATACCACTCGAAGCTTGGGGTGTCACAGGAAATGCAAGTCACGCAGAACGCGATGAATCCACGTGACGTATCAGCCCGCTCGGCTACATCTCGATCAGTCGCCGCCTGTTCTACGGTTTCATTCTTCTCAAGCTGCCTAATCACATAAACCAATCTCAACTCGTTTCGTTCCTTCATCTCTATATAAAATTAATGCATAAAAGGCCTGTCGGGTCTGTCTGTCTGCATACATTATATCAGAAATTATTAAACAGATAGACATTAAATTTTATATTGACGGGGTTTCACTCTTACAAATGTCTTACGAATCCAGTGCCTAATATCTGAACCTGTACTTTGTATGAAATCGAAATTAAATTTCTGAATTTCTCATAAAGGACTCGTTGTACCAAAAGTCGGTATATGAAATAAGAGATAAACATTAGTAAGATCTACAACTTATATTTGGACCCATCTTAGTCTTTCTTTTTGGAGTCTAAAGTTAACTCCTTTAAGTTTTCCCAATAAAATGTTTTTATGTTCAAACTTTCTCCCAGCCCATCAAATTCTCCTAAATTTCACTCTCCAAAAAGAAAAAGTGACCTGTATAAACCATGACATTTCTAGTCATGCCATATATTTAATTAGCTTTGACTTTTTTAAGTCCCTGAGGTAACGTTCGATCTTTATCCCAAAATGCGATAGTAATAGGAAAATTATGATTGTGGCCTCTGAAATCGCCCAATTTGACGACTCAACAATTTCTTGATGGAATTATGCCAGAAGTGCCGCATACCAATACACTTAGCATCTATACAACTCAAACAGCAGACCACTAGAGCTGCTGACAGCATTAGCTCCAAAGCTGGGCTTGATATCTCTCGTGCCCGAAAGGGAAGCATGTGGAAATATGATGACGTACACCGTAAGAGTTAAGAAGAATTCTGTCTTCTGGGATATAACACCATGTAGTCTGACGAAAGTTAATCGACGTTTCGGAGACATATGTCACCTCCATCTTCAGGATGAGGAGTAACCCACTGCTGTGAGAACTTCAAATCCTACATCTCTGAAATAAACTTCATTTTGGTACACTGTTTCTGTAAAATGCATAATGATTACGAAAACAGGGCTTCCCCAAACCCCGAAGTGACTTTCTGGCCTCCCTGCAAATGCAGAGAAAACTAAACGTAGGCCATGTTCATATCATCATCATAATATAGACACCGCTAATGAATCCTCTGAAAATTCAGAATTACAGTAAAAAATTAAAATGCATTAAAAGAACTTAAGAGGAATGTAAAATCACAGAAAGCTTGCTACAATTCAGTTCTAATTTTCTTCATCTGCTACCTAGAAACACAAACCTATAATTTTACCTCTTCATTGCATGATTGCGAAACTTGATCTCGCACATTAAAGGAATAAAATAGAATGAGGGTGTCTGAGATCCGTGTGGTGGGGAAAATTTACGGACCTAATCGGGAGGTAGGGATAGAAAGTTGCAGAAAATTTCACAATGACGAGCTTTATCGTTCGTACTATTCACCACATATTATTAGGATGATCGTATGAAGGAAAATAAGATGGGCAGAGAGTGTGGCAAGCATGGAAGAAGTGAGAAATGCATACAAAACTTTTTGTTGGAATATCTAAACGGGAGATACCACTTTGAAGACCTGGGCTATATGGGAGGATGTTATCAAAATTGATCTTAATAGAACAGAAGAGGGGGGCGCGGATTGGATTTTTATTTTGGTTCAAGATAGGTAGCAATCGCGGACTGTTTCAGTACGGTAATGGAACTTCCAGTTTACTAAATGGCGGGAAAGTTCTTCAGTAGCCAAGCGACTATAAGCTTCTCAAGCACTCTGCTCCATAGAGTTAGGTTTTACAAGACAAAGAATGTTAAGTGTTCAGACACAGTGCAGACAGTCCGTTTCTTACTCTGCCATAATCGAAAAAAAAAGGTAACCAACGTAACTAAAAAATAATATATATGAATTCATGGCGTTGAAAATTTTGATAATCCACTAATCTTCACCACGTCTCCCCGACAACTATGAAATATTGCAATTACCTTGTGTCTTATGAGAAAATACACGGAAACAATAAAATGAATGTGATTCGCCAGTGATGTTGGTTTTAAGACAGTCACAGCAGTGACTATGAAGAGGAAAATCTTCTGGGCTGTATCTCAGTGTACTTCGGTAGAAGTATACCAACGATTAGCAAAAACGTGCTGTCTCCGTTCTTTCTTTCTCACGGGATAAGACTGAGTCCACTTGGTACTGCGGCCACTGTTTGGCCTATTGTACCAGCCCAAAATTATAGAAGATAATTGGTGAGCTATCGTTGGAATGCGAATTGGCAGGGGAAACCGACGTACTCAGAGAAAACCTCCAGTGTCACTTTGTCCACCACAAATCCCACATTACCTGATCCGTATTTGAACCCGGACCTACGCGGTTAGAAGCCAGCGACTAACCGCCTAAGCTATTGCACGACTTTGTTTCTATCTTACCAGTGGTGACAGTTTTCACTAAATGAGGGGAAGCTCATTTACGCAAATTGCACATTTATAAGTCCTCTCAAAACAAAGCAAGAATTTTATATTAGCTGTATCATGATTGTCTTGCTATGCTTATGGGACCATCTATCCATTCCTGCACTACACGTAAACGGATTACAACTGTATTTCATACTGAAGTTTCACACCAGAAATTACAGCATCTAACTAGGATGTCAAAACAGCTAAGTAATCATTTACGAGTTCATTAGACAAATACACAGGTTACTAAAACATGCTCTGACTAATTGTTCATGCAAACAGAAATGTGAAGTAAATACCCGTTCGTCCTACACAACATGTCGGTACGCAACATTAGCTTGCATGACTTACCAAGGTCGGATGCGTAGCGAAGAGCACCTTTCATCAGAAGTTGCAGCATCATAAAAATTCACTTACATTACTTTAATTCCATAGGTTTTAGTTTAAAATATGCCACTACAAAGACTGACTTTCTACACTGACGTTATATCTGAACAAGAAACTGTCACTTTTATAAGCACTGCTTTAAGAACACAAGGACGATCTGGAACACAACCTTAAAGAACTATACTACTTTACAAACTTCATATTCACGTTTCACAAAATCTCATTTCTAGCAATTATATTATTCTTTGGAATAAAGAATTTTCTGTAAGGAAGAGAAATTTCTCAGATTCTTTGGCGGCAAGTGGTGTTGGCCAACCTGCTTCCATGATGGAGGCGGAGAAAAAGCGGGATGTTGATTGACTTGCAGAAGTGATCGTTCAGTTCAAACTTCTTGAAGTGCTCTTAACTATTGATAAAGTTTAAAGGTTAGGACAGGTACAGTTATATGATGAATTAAATATTTGAATTTTAAATATGGAAAATGCTGATGATGTAGCTTTAAGCGATGAAGAGCCAATCACAGCACAAAAAGTTCTTCAGACGTTGCAAGAAGTTTGGTTAAATGAGAAGTTTAGCCCTGAATTATTGCAACATCAGTCAGACTTAGTTGACTGTATTCTGGACCAGATGCAGCAGATGGAAGAAAATCTACAGAAACTTAAAAAGAATGATTTCCGTGTTGTAATTCATCGAATGGAATTGGATCGGATAAGATATATTGTTACAGACTACTTGAGAATTCGATTAAATAAAATTGAAACTTACGTAATTCACGTACTTGAGCAAGATGTCAGTAGGAGTACAGAGGATGCATTTCTCTCACCACCAGAACTTAAATTTGCTAAGGAGTTTTTGGCTCATATGGAAGATCATTTCAGACTAATAGCCTTGAGGCATATGCCATCCAATGTGCAGGATTTCGATAAAGCTAAAATGGTTGTGATCCCAAACATTTCAAGTCATGTTTTTCTTCGTGCAAAGCAGAGTATTACTGGTGTAGTGATAGAAGGTGACGTTGAAAATCGGGAGGAAGAAGTTGATTTGGAAGAGAACTCTCAGCATATTATGCAGTATAAACCAATAGCAGATTACCTTAAAACAGGGGCTGTACAGTTAATTTGACTACTTCAGACAGACTTTCTGCAAGGTGACATTTTGCACCCTGAGAGTTTGTAATCTTGCCTTGTTGTTCAATTAGCTTTCATCATGTATAAATATATAGCACAGTAGTGTCTTAAACAAAGTAATTCAGTTATTCTGTGAGGTGGTTGCATAATGTGGGTCCCAGCTGCTTAAAACTTCCGTCATTTCACAAAATAATCTTAATTTACAAACACAACCTGTTGATCGCTGTCAATTTGCAGCACTTATATATATTGGAAGTTACTTCCAGATAGTAATAAAATTAACCACAGTAGTAATTTTTTAATGTTTTAGTTGCTGTAACCTTTCAAGTAATCATAAGATGATTTTAAGGACATTATGACTGTCTTTTTCCTAAATGCATTTAGTAAAAACCATTTCATGCATATCTGTATATTAATCTGTTCAATGTGTGAATCATTTTACATTCTGCTGTCTTCAGAAGTATTTAACTAATTTTAAAGTTATTAATAGTTCTACATTTCCCATCTAAAACTACGTTAAAATACAATGAAATCGTGTTTCTTGAAGGTAGATTCTGATTGAACAGTTCTTTAATTTGTTTATTTCTAGTCACCAGGTAAATCTGAAAATATAGAAGTGCCTTTTATATATTACTGTTTGTTTAATATATAGTGTTTTTTTAATCATGTAGTGCTTCCTGTGTTGTGAAATTGATGGTCAGTCAACCACACAAAATAAGCTTTTAAACTTTAGTTAAACATAACTGAAGACTGCATAATTCTGCTGAAACATAAAGAAAGTAAAGGTATCTCTGTAAAAGGCCGTGAAAGCGCATAGAGTTGTGAGATGTCAGAGCTGTCACATTTTCTAAACAGTTTGCTCACAGATGGTGGTGAGGTTGTCAGCTTGATGTGCCAGCTGCCCTTTACCCCCAGGAAGATTCCTCGTACTCATTTCTGTTAGAGGCTGACTCGACCGCAGGTCATAGTGCAGCTGAAAGGACTAGGTCAATTGAGAAGTCCAATGGCATCATCGGGAATTGAACCCACGACCTTCCGGCTTGTGGCATAGTGCCTCAACCAACTACGCTGCCATATACCCTCTGCTGGAACAGAGTTAAAATTATTTATGTGTTGAATAGATTGAAATGTACAGTTGTATTTGAATAGATGTTTTCATTTTCCAGAATCACAAGTTGGAACCTGATACATTTTAATAGTTTTGACTCTGCTCATTTCATAAAATTTTGCCTATTTTATGTAATATTAAAGATTTCCTGCAGGGAATAGAAACTGTGGACAGTCCTTTCTAATTCATTTTCCTAATCTCATACTGAATGTGGACCTTCTGTAGTTACCAGTTATCACAAGCCCAATCTACCCAAATCCATGCCTGACTTAGCCTAATTATGTCATATATGACAAGTATGGGAAGGTGGGGTGATATGGACTGGATTGATCTGGCTCAGGACAGGGATTAGCAGAGGACTCTTGTGAACACAGTAACAAACCTGTGGGTTCCATAAAATGTTGGGAAATTCTTGAGTTACTGAACACTTGGTTGCTTCTCAAGAAGGGCTCAGCTCAATGGAGAGAAATATGGGAAGGGAGCTTGAAGGGACAATTTTATCTTATTGTAATTAATGGAGCATAGCTTCAGGAGGGGTTCAGAGCTATTTTGTACTGACACTTTCATATGTTACCCTACAGTAAATACTACTCTGTGCTGTTGCTGAACTCAATAGCTCCCTCTGCCATACCCAAGTCACGTCATCCTTCCCAAATTTTAGTTTTATAAGATACTCTCAGTGTACAGTTTATTCCATTGTGTGTGTCATTCTGAGCACAGAAAATTTAACGAGTTTAACTGTTACACCAGTCCCCTTAAGAATGAGCAAACTCATTTCTTCATTTCAAAGCCAAACGTGGTTATAGATGAGACTTTTCTTCTGGCCAGTCAAGGTAATTCTATTGCCTCCCATATCTGTAGGGCTGCCCTTTGCTACCTGTTCAACCTACCTACCTCCCAAGAAATGCAGTTATATAAAACTGAAACTCTGCTCAGATATTTCTTTTGGTAATGTTTCTGTCAATAAATGACTGATGACCTTGACCAACTTAAAGAAATGTCCCCAGCTTTAAAAAGGTGTTGGATATACTTATAACAGGTCCTTGCATAGCACCATAATCGGTTAAGGGAGAAATAAAATAAAATTTCCACATTCATTTTAATGTAAATAAGTACTCGTACTGTTGCTTAATGCACTTTTCCTGAAATTTCATATCATTACTGGACACCCAAATATGTTCAATTTATTTCAACACTTTGAAAATATTGAAATTGAGGGGCTTATACAAAGAGGTACAGGAGGAACCTGGACAACTCGGTTAGTAGAGTGACTTGATAAGAGCTGAATGTTCAGGATTCAATTATGGTAAGGATTTTCTCTTCATCACGTTCAGAGCAACTCCCTTCTGTCTGATAGTCATCAGATACAGTCATCTAAAGCGTGACAGTGATATGTATCGTGTTCAAAGGTATAAAATACACAGAACTTTACCACAGCACTCCCTATACCCCTCCAAGGCGAGGTATTTAGGCAGAGCATTAATTGCCTTTTCATGTCCATAGAATTCTCGAGGACCATATGCTCATGCATTCAGTTGAGTGGAATGCTGTAGAACTGTAAATATTTTTACTTAAACAAAAGGTAATGTGTGGGAGTGTTAAATGAAAACATACTGAGTACCATGTGGATCAGATGTAATGAATGAAAAACTGTTATAATAAAATGGCACTAAGCAAAACTTGTAAACAGAGGTTACATAATTCTTGTACTAATAATTTTAGTATTTGTTCTGCTCTGCAAGAAATTTACATGTGTGTAAAGGATTGCAATCGTAGTACGCGGGTTCAAATACCCGCTGGAGGTCGTCGAATTTTTAAGGGTGGAAAAATTAAGGGAACAAGTCCTCCGGGAGGGACTTTAAGCCGTGGGTCCCGTGTCGTAACTTTATGACACGTAAAAGAACCTCATACCTCCAAAGGAGGTCACTGAGCAAAATTGCGGACATTTGCCGCCCAGCAACAGTCACTAATACCTCCGGTAGATGGGGGAAGCATTATAGATACTTCTCAGCCAGTAGAGCCGGTCTCGCTGGCTGGGCGGGACTGATGGTAAGCACCAATACCGGTAGGATATAGAGGCTGGCAGAAATCATAGAGGGAAGCACAATGGACCACTACAGGTCTAAGTGCATGGGGAAACCAACCCTCTCTAATAACTAACTAACTAAAGGATTGCAAGCAGATATGCCACTTTGGTCAGTATGATATAGGTTGAGAATTTCTGCTGTAGAGTGTATGAGCATATGACAAGTGTGTAGAGATTCAGCAGCATGTATTCTGACACTATGTGCAATTTTGTATTCACTGAAATGTAGTTTTAATCATATGAGTTTGTTTGAGGAGAGCTGTAAGGGATAAAAATAATAATATAAAGCTTGCACATAAATCTGCAGTCTGTTGAACTTTAATTAAGTTACTGAACCTTCAAATGTAAATCATGTAATTTCAGAATCCTAATATTCTGAAGTATTTGCACAAGCTTCTAATCATTAAGAAAAAAGTCATCTCGAAAAATGACGAGTCTTGATGTCACATACTGGTTCACTGTTAATGCATATTTGAAGGTCTCAGGCATCATCTATGTAACTGAAATATTCCCATTTAAAATACAGATGTTCTTCCAGTTTAAATAATACATAATTCTTTTGAACTGTAAAATTGAAGCTGGTGTAATAAACATACTAAAGATTATTTGACTTCATATTTGTGGATGCCTGATTTTAAGGTACTATCCTAGCATTATTGTGAAATGAGGCCAAGAATCAAATTCAGGGCCTTCTATTATGAAACAGGATTACTGATCACTCAGCAGTGACATCTGGTGTATGTAATTGTATCTCTTAATTTTATTGGTGTTTGCTGTTACACCAACACATACGCTGCTTATTCACATACCCACTAATTAAAATAATCTCTATACCAAATGTTTTCAAAGAACTGCAAGAACTTCCAAGAAACCTTAGATATGTAACACAAAGTCATGTCTTTGTACTCTTCTTTGTTTTTGTTGAATGACTGCTGCATTTGGTTGAAAACAGTTGCACTTTGATTCTGAAAATGAATGTTTCTTTTAGAGCAAGCACAGACATGGGGACACATGGGCATGATGATAAGCATATATTTTATAAAATATAAAATACTGATCTTTCTGCATGAATTTATGACTGGTTTATGTCCACATAATACTTTACGAAATAGCTGCCTGTTGTACACTTCCATATCCCAGGAGATGGAAACCTTCATAACCACCACTGTGAGAACCCTAAATTCTTACATCTCTCTTCTGAATATGAAACCTGGTAAGTTAAAAAAAAATTACCCATAAGCAGCAAAATACAACCCCCTACACTGAACTGGACCTCCATAATTCTCTCCCACATGCATACTTCAAAAGTTACTAAATTGCAGTGGGATGACATGTCACATTATTTACTTCTGCTTGAGACAACACTGCTCTACAGTATTGAAACAGAGTATAGTCTTCAGAATAGAATTTTCATAACTGACAGAGCATTTACCATGAGGAAGGTGCTATCAAACACAGTCTGCTTTTATAGGATCAAGTAAAACAACAGCAGCAGAAAAGTTCACAGGTTCATTGCTGGACAAAATGAAAATGTTGGCAATCCAAAATATTTCCCAAAGATAAACTGAATGACACTGGCTCTTAATTCGAACGAACTTCCAAAAAACAGTTATGTCTCTTGGCTGTTCAGCATCACGCATCAGCTCAGCTCTGCTCTGCTCTGCTCTGCTGCAAAACAACTACTGACATACATCTACAAAACCATATTTATAGGAAAATGTTATGTGACCAGATTTTGAAAGCAAGAGTATAATGCTACATACATCAAAGGGGCATAATTTTCTTTTCATAGCTATATAAGCAGCCAAAACAACAGCTAATGCAGCATATCAAATTGTCATGTGATGAAGATGTAACAACAGTTTGTCTATAAATATCCACATCGAGCTTTGAAGCAGACAGAACTTAAAGTCTTCCACAGAAATGTAGAAAAGGATGAAGACTTCTATTTTCTGGGACATAATGCTGTGCAGTCTATTGAAAGTCGGCCAACATTTCAGAGGAACATGTCGTGTCCTCCTGAAGATGGAGATAACATGCTCCTCTGGAATGTCATGTGACTCTCAATGGGCTACACAGGGTTAACTGCAGAAGGTAGAACTCTTCATAAACCCCACTTCTTTGGGAACCTCAAGTTCTATGTAGAAAGAATTTTACTTTTACTTTGCATGAGAAAAACTGAAGTGATTTTTTGGCAACAGTGGTTTTGACTTTGGGATGCCAAGTCCAGCAGTAACACAAAGACCTTATATTGTATTCAGTAGTGGTTTATAGATTTGAAATATTAAAATAAAATTGTTTATCTGTTACAGCTTTAAGTATGAGTGTGTGTTTGCAGTAGCCTCTATTTAGACTTTACTGATCAGGACAATAGTACTTAGTAACAGAAATACAAGAAATACATTGAGGGACAACCTTCCCTACTTACCTGTCAGGCAGTGCTAATACATGTAACAATTCTATATAAAGTATAAAAGCTATTTCTAATACTGATCACAGGTTTAAGTCTTCCATGCCATGCTACCATAACTAAAGTAACATTTGAAGGAATCATTTCATACAGAGGACACAAACACACACTCCTGGTTTTTCATTCACCCTGATTAAGTAGTCATAATCATTTTTGAACCACCTAATCAGAGTATCTCCAGCGTTCATTTATGTTGTAGTAGCAGCTTACACGTCATGCATCTGTATTCTTCTGCTTCAAGTTGCTCTTCTTATATGCCTGGAAACAAATATACAGCTCAAGACCATACCGAGAATTCACAGAACTTAGCTACAGTATGGAACAGCTTAAAGGAATGTCCAAACAAGCAGCTTAATATCAAACATGAAAAAGTGAAATAAACCCACTCTAGGAATTCAGGACAGATATACTGACAGATTTTATCTTAAAAAAAATTAGGTACACCATATTTGGAGTTTGGATTCTTAGAATAAAAATTTTACACTTTTCACGACTTTCAGATCTGCTTATACATCTAACAAACACGTTTACTCAGATTTTGGACTTTGTCTGGTATTCTAAAAAAACACAGTTTTGGAAACTGGATATTTCTGTTCTCAAGTGAGGGGGTGGGAGGTTCTCCCTTTCTAATGGACCCAACAAAGTAGGTCTCTCCCACCCCCTTATCTGAGGGTGGAAACAGATCCAGTTTCCAAAACGTATTCTTTAGAATACCAGAGGCTGAACAAAGTCCAAAACCCATAATCCTGTGTGTTATACACCACTGGCAGAGCCCTTTAGAAGCTATGTAACAAACAGTGCTGACATTTTTGTCATTATTCACATCTGCTTATATATGCAAGGGTTTTCTTACATAAATTCCTAAAGAAAAGATAGGGCAGCAAGTTTATAATCGTGCTGAATATGGAAGTGACATTATGATTTAATGATATTCATGTACAATAAATTAAAGGATATGGTAGTCCTTGGACAACTTTTTATGTTCTTCATGATATGTTGCCTATACATAGTGGCAACTTTACTTCTATGACTTATCATTATGGAAAATGAGTACCATGCCTCTCAATATACTGTTATTTTTATTAAATGTTGAACAATTACAAGTATTTTCTACTAATGAGATTAACTTACCTCCTCTGCTACTTTGTGTAATTGCTCAGCCATAGCTTTCCCTGTTTCCTGGACCATTTTGAAAAATTTACCTTTCTTGTTCTGCAGCAGTAAATGTGGATGGTCAAATTCCTACAACACATATTTCACTTATTTCACTTTTCACACTTAAATGAAAGTGACTTATGGTTTGATCAAGGTGAACTGACAGTCTAACTTCTAACAGCCCTGTTTCTCAGTAAAGTCACAGGCACCAAATTATGTAGGAATGGAGAGAACATAACAGCAAAATAATTTCAATATAAAACGATGAGTTCAGATAATTCTTGCTTATTTTCATCACCAACATTCTAAGTTACAACAAAAAAAAAAGGGAAAGTTCCTGTAATTAACTAATTAACCTTTAAATGCCGGACTTGAAATAGTGGTAGCTTGAACTGGCCAGAGTTTAATGCCCACTGCTGGGGCATGTTTAAATGCCCTGTGGGATTGTCGATACTCCAATAGACAAACCACGTGAAACTGTAACAATTGTATATACTAAATCATTTAAACTGAATATACAGAATACAGGATATATGTAGAATGTTCAAACATTGGCTGGCCCTCTAAGGGCAATTCGTTCCACCGTGAGTGTGTCTACAGATTTCACTCCTCTGTAGTTGGCGGAGTCTTAGGCCGTTTAGCTGGCCTATCCGGACGGTGATGCAGTGCTGCGCGCACCGGTAGGATCGAGTGGCTCGGCCGGTTGCTGGGATTGCAGAAGATGTGTTTGCTGGAGACTTGCGGCTGCTACTTTGGCTGCCTGGTCGCTGGATGCTTGCTGCAACTAAGTCAGTTGCCCGGTCGCAGTGAATAGCTGATGTCTCTGAAGACTGATCACTCTGAGCGTGTTGACTGACGATTGCGAGCTTTGGGCTCCACCTTTTATATCATGCGTGATGGAGGAGCGAAATTTGCAGAGCGCTGATTGGCTAGCGTGTGTTATGATCTAAATGTGAGCTGGACATCGAATGTTGTTTAAATACGAGTGCTGTCAGCAATGCAATTGGCTAGCGCACATGATGATCTGCAAGTGTGTTGGACATTGAGTGATGTATAAATATGAGCGTCGCCAGCAATGTGATACTTCACTTAGGAGGGAGTGTTGTCTGGAAGACTGGCGGAACAGCGTGCTATGTGGGATGTTGCCACAGCCCGTTCCTGTTAGGGCACTTGCACTGTATTTGAAAATGCTGTATCTTATTCAATATTTATGATAAATGAATGGAATTAACTTCGTTTTTATCAGCAAAGAACACAATGTTGAATATTATAATCTTATAAATATATACAGAGTGTCCCAGGAGGAATGTGCCAAACTTCGGGAGGGTGTTCCTTATGTTATAGTATGCCGATATGACCCAAAACACCTATGTCCAAAGTTGAACAGTTACGGAGATAATGGCCCGAGAAAATGTGGTCTTCTGGTGAGTCAATGCACTGTACCTGTCAGCTGGCATGTCTTATCTACGTTTGTCCTTGAGTGTGGCGATTCACACTAGCCGCAAGCTCCCTTCAGTATATGTTGCAGACACGTTTTGAATGGGTGGTAGGTTAATTGTGCGTAGTTGCTGAAATGCCTTTTGTGTTTTCAAACGTGGAATATTGTGATATGCATTTTGTGTGGGGATTTTGCGGTGGCAATGCACATGCTGCTGTTGAAGAATACCAAAGGCGTTTTCCCGATCGAAGGATTACATGTTGAAGTGTATTTACGTGAATTCACCGGACATTGCGTGATACTGGTTCTCTTCCGAGTGTTTCTGTGCACTCTGAAAGGGAGGATGTACGAATGATAAACACACGAGAGAACGTTCTTGAGATGGTTAAGAGAAGTCCACGTCTGTCCACTCGTAGAATGGCCTCTTGCATCGGCGTATCACGTATGCAGGTGTGGCGAACTTTACATGATGAAGAGTTGTATCCTTACTATGATCAAAGGGTACAACATCTGGAACCAGGCGACCATGCTCAGCGTATGGATTTGTGCCACTGGATAAAAGCTCATCCCGAACTGTTAAGTGTCATTTTATTCAGTGATGAGGCGTCTTTTACCCAGGACGATGTAAATAATTTACAAAATATGTATATGTGGTCCCATAATAATCCACATGAGATAATGGAAACGAAATTCCAAACAGAGATTTTCCGTGAATGTACATTTAATACAGTTATGTAGTCATTATGCGCAGTCAGCCATGTTACGTCAGCGCTTGCCAGTCATGTGTCATGTATAGTGCTTGGAAACCTAAGGACAATTATGACATGGCGAGCGAGTATTTTGTACTTCAATTTTATGGCTTCATGTCACTCACAAGTTAGTTTGATGTTACGTACATTATTAACGTTACAGAATCCACATATTCCTGCCAGTTTTAATATCTATTTTGTAATCAACAAGTGTGTAACCCCGGTCAAAGTTTGACACTTCTCGGGCCATTATCTCCGTAACCGTTCAACTTTGGACATAGGTGTTTTGGGTTATATCGGCATACTTTAACATAAGGAACACCCTCCCGAAGTTTGGCACATTCCTCCTGGGACACCCTGTATACAATATATGTATATAAGGATGTCAGCCTTATGCTCAGGCCGCACTTTACTACCCAGGAAAATTATTTAATTAATTCCTGGTACTCATTTCTGTTAGAGGCTGAGTAAACCTCAGGGCCTAGTGTGACTGGAAGGATTAGGTCAATTACTTTTAAAAATTTAGCATGATGTTATATGGACAACTGGCACTGATGTTCATGTTTGTGTAAAAAATGTGTTCTATCATGCTTACCACCATGGTGCCTGCTTCCATGACAAGTACTCTGTCAGAGTCCATGATTGTGTTCAATCTGTGCGCTATTGTCAATACTGTACACCTTTCAAATTTTGTTCTGATGGTTTTCTGGATAAAGGCATCTGTTCTGTAACAAAGAAAAATATTTATATGTGCATGTCCCATGATATTTAACCAGAGAACTACTGGTAATCACAGATTACTTAACCTTCACTCTAGTGCCTGTGTATGAATGAGCCAAAGGTAAAGTTGTTCCTGTACTTAACAATTAAGCACTACTCCATGAAGGCATATGGTGGAGTGGATATATAGATCCACATTTTCTTGATGTCGGCACTAGCTGGAGGTGAGTGGTCAGCTTCACGCCCCGGCGGCTTTACCTCCGGGGAAAGAGCCCCAGATACCCACTGGATAGGAGGCTGGGTGGGCCCCAGAGCAGCTCTGGACAATATGGAGAACAGAAAATTATGACTCGTAACAGGACTCGAACTCCAACCCCTCGGGTGTCCAACCTATAGGCAGTCACTATACCGACTACACTACCCCAACGTAGGTAAGGAAGTAAAGCTGTCCTTGTAACAGGCCGTGAAGGCCCATAGGGTTGTGAGACATTGGGGGTCCCACACTATCTAGACAATCGCCTCAAAGATGGCAGTAAGGTTGTCATCCTTATTCGCCAGCCGCACTTTACTCACCAGAAAAATTATTAAATTAATTCATGGTACTCATTTCTGTTAGAGGCTGAGTAAATCCCAGGGCCTAGTGCAGCTGGAAGGATTGGGTGAATTGAAAAAAATTCAATGCCCACTTCGGGACTTGAACCCGCGACCTTCTGGCTTGTAGCATAGCCCCTCAACCAATTACACTACCGCGTGCCCCTTCACTGAAGTTAAAAATACATGCAGCTATACCATCACTCACTCATACATCTTCATGGTATGGTGTTTAACTGAGCTCAAGAAAAGCTTTGCCTTTACTTACCAACACTGCAGTCTTGTGGCCTGAATTCCATTCCTGTATTACAGAAATATTTATTTGAGACTTACTGTGGATCCACATTTGCTGTTGCTTCATCTAGGACCAATATCCTATTGTTCCTGACAATGGCACGAGCCAGGCATACCAACTGTCGCTGGCCTGCACTGAAGTTGCTTCCCCCTTCATTCACCAAAAAATCTAATCCACTCACAGACTCTTTCAGCTCAACCTACAATTATAGAGAATATGAATGATAAACATTTCAATATAAAGAATGTGAGCTATGAAGATACACCTGACAGTGGGCAGTGAGTGGAACATAAATGTAGGAAATGTGCTTTTAGATAATTGAGAACTGAGGAATATGTGTGGTCTTTAGTGACAGAAACAGGGAAAGACCATTTATTCTGGGACAGCAAATTGGAATTGTGTCCCCAAACACCGAAATATAGGAAGGGAAAAGACTGTTTAACTTTATTATTGACTTTAGCATGAACTTCACAAATGAGAACTACTTATTCAGTAATTAGGAAAGTCCTTGGTCAGAACTGAAGCTTTCAACAGTGATTATGTGCAGCCTGATCAAGCCTATTGCACACCTCACATTGCAGTGATAAGTGAGTATGGAGGAATGGTGAGATGATGATGATGAACAGGGTGAAGGCTGAAATAACTCAGAGAAACCTGACCAATTGCCAGTTCATCCAAGAATCTCACATGAAGTCATGAGAGACTGAACTTGGGACTCTGTGATCAGCAGCAGCACCTAATTACTTGAGATATGGAACAGCCCATTAACTCCGTATTCAACTTCATTCATTTAAATATTTTGGTTGGGCTTCTTAGTATAAGAGCATTATGTCTAGAGGCATACTGGTATTTGACCTAGAATAGCATAGCAGCTACTGAATCATGCAAATTAATTATTCCATCTGTCTGAAATATTTTTTACTTACATGACTTCACATATAGAGAGAAACCTTTACCTTGACAAAATTTAGGAATCCAGTACATTGAATTGTAAATTTATAAAATCAACAATATAGTAATGAGATTCATCATAAATTGTCCAAACTATCAGGTTACCTCAGTCTCCTTCACTTACCCAATGCAATATAATTTCTTGTTATACATGGGTTACTTCAAAAGTCATGGCAACTAATTTTTGGGGGCACTTATTGCACATAAGTCTAAGTTGTTTCTTCTTCTCCTGAAAAATTATGTTTAGTGACTTTCCACTCTTTGCCACATCATTACAGAATTTATGATGCTATGAAAGAGAAACCCATTGTACAACTTACATCCTCAAGAGCTCTCCAGAGTACATCATCAGGAAACTCATGAAAAGGATCGAGATTGTCTCGTAATGTTGCAGTGAACAGAACTGGCTCCTGTGGAATGATGGAAATATGACTCCGCAAATCTGACAGACTAAGCACTGCTGTATCCATATTGTCGATTCTAACGGTTCCTTCTAGTCGGGCTAGCCTAAACAATGCTGATATGAGTGATGACTTGCCTGCACCAGTACGACCAACAATTCCTACCTGCAACAGATCACCACACCAACCTTCTGCACAAATGACACTGTATTTAGCCTCAAATGAAACACATTAATGTAAATTTCCAGAGGTTAAACACATTCTCAATGATCTTCCTGGGGGTAGAGAGCTGCCAGCGCATAATGCTGGCAACCTCACCACCATCTGTGAGCTAACTGTCTAGAAAATGTGGCATCCTCGACATCTTAGAACCCTATGGTCATCCATGGCCTGTTACAGGGACACCTTTACCTATTTACCTTTTTTCAATAATCTCTAACTGTGACAGAGAATCATATTTCTCCTTACACTACAAACCAGGAAAGTTAATATCCACATAAAAGTATATGCATGATTATCACTCTATAACAACAACAACAATAATAATAATAATAATAATAATTTATTATTATATTCAAGTAGATCCAATTACAGGGCAAGAAACAAGTTGTCACATCACTGGATATAGAATGCATCAAAAATCAAAACAAATGTTCCTACCAATCACTGGAACTAGATGAAAACATATTAACCTTTTATCTTATAAAATTCATCCAGTTTATAAAAACAATGTATATGAATCGATATTATCAATAAACAATACAATATCAAATAATGTATGTTACACCACTCACACATCAAAAGAAAAACTGTAAAAACATCTAACATGCATGAACAATAAATGGAATAAATAACTTCTCTCAGAAGTATACTAAAAATTATTATGGTAATAAATACATTCATAAATAAATAAATAAATTCATAAAACAACAAGAGATTGCATGTTAAAATAAATAAAAGTCATAGTTGGTATGTAGGCAGATCTAAAATATATGATAATAAATGGATCACTAATGGGATAAGAATCCATGTAACAAAAAGAGAGAACTCTTTTTTATTAAGTAGATACAGTAATGATCTACATTTTAAATTATATTTTAAACAGTACAGTAAAATACTATCAAAAGTAATTTTAGCAGCAAAAAACTACACTATAACAAAATCATTGCTAATTCTAACAATAAAATAAGAAGTACTTGGAAAATAATAAATGAAGTAGAAGGAAAAATAAAGCGAGACATAGGTATTCATTCCATTGTGACAGACAAAAAAGTAACAAAGAATGAGAATAAAATTGCTGATGTTTTAACAATTATTTTTTATCTATAGCTGATTCTGTTATATCAGATATTAATAGACATACAATTCCTTAATTATATACACGCTTCTGCACTTTAGTTAATTTATTACTTGGAAAATGTAAGTCAAAACCTAGTCTGGTGTTAATGTTGTGTATAGCAGAATTAAATTTAATTATATCTAAATTCTTAACAACAAAAATTGATACAGAAAATATATATTGAGAATATAAGGGCAGAATATTTAACTGCCTGAACAATGGACGACAAGAGCCCTTATTTCTTGCCTTCATAATAATTCTCACTATTCGTTTTTGGATTTTAAAAATTAAATTACTATGAGGTAAATTGCGCCAAAGTATTATTCCATACAACATAATGGAATGTACATACGCAAAACAAATCATCCTTAAACTCTCCTGAGTCATAACTGCAGATAGAGTTCCAATAGAATAACTGGCCGCATTCAGCTTAGTTACCAAATGATTTATTTGATCTTTCCATGATAAGGTATTATCTATGATTAGTCCTAGGAATTTTGTATTACAAGTATTTTTAATTTGAACATCCTTATAGTTTAGGTTTATCTTTGATGTAGTATTTACTTTTGATGAAAAATGCACAGTCAGTTTTGTTAAAATTTAATGATAATGAATTATTCATAAACCATGTGTCTATTTTGTTCAGTATCATTTTCAATACCTTTATATGTTCCACAGAATCAGAATTGTAACACAGTATGCTGGTATCATCAGCATACAAATTTGGTTTTGATATTTTATTGAATTTTAGTAAATTTGCTTTTGATATTCCACCGGTGGAGTGCACTTTATAGTTCTACATAAGTATTTAGATTTCTTTGGTTTCATATTAACATCACTGAATCTTTTGTAACTTATTCTGCAACTTCATTGATCAAAATTCTTCATCAAGTATTGTATTATTCGAAACAAGTTTCACTCTTTTATATAGTTTTATATATCTGAATCTCAGATGTTAAAACAAACTAATTCATGGTCACAAAATCTGTGCTTACATTAGCACAGTAGTAACTCTGTATGAACAGCCTGTAAATGATAAAAATCCACTGACAACAGTGGAGGTTGAAGAAATTATGTTCATAATGAAAAACAAGAACCGGCAGCAGACACATCATGTGCAAGGCATGCAGTGAATGCAGTATTGGGCACAACTACAATTTCATTACTTTCACAGATCAGGTTTCAGTTGTTAAATAATTATGTACAGAGAAATCAGAACAGGTAATGAAATTTCCTATACATTTTATTGTTACTTATTTTTAAGTATATTTATCTTTCATTTCATATCATTTTCGTTGAATTTTAACTTACAGAACTACATTTTCAATTCACAATGTTTATTTCACACAATATTTGTAGACCTAATGTAGTCTTTTAACACTTTAATGTAAGTGAAGCTCAATCACACATTCACATACCTTCTGTGCAGGCTGTATGATGAAGTTAAGGTCCTTGAGTACTGGAGGGTCGGCTGGGGAATACTTGAGGCTCATGTGTTCAAATTGGATCATTCCCTTCATTGGCCAGCAAGATGGTGGCTTTTGAACTGAAACAAAGACATATTTACATAATTTAACACTAAGAAACTTATTGTATCAAGTTTACCTGTGGTATCTTCTTTTAAAACCCGATTTCCAAAGTCTCAGAAAGGTATTTAATTAGCAAAGAAAAGTAAGTAAACCTCGAAATGTCACAGATACAAGCTCAAAGAGTTTCCAAAACTGACAGTCAACAATGTAAGTTTCTTGACAGTCAACAAGTTTAAAAATGAGATACACTTGCCTGGATGTTTCTTGAGATCTGTTTCCTTCTCAACCTTAGTGTATTCAAGGATTCGTTCTACTGAAGTCATCTGGCTAATAACATCTGCAGCCAGTCTCATACCATACGGCAACATCCCATTCAGGATAAGGGACTGAGATATAGCCAAACCAACATTGCCACCAAATGTGTCTGTAACAACATGCAAAATTATTAACAGAATTTCTGTAAAAAAATCTATCAGAGTCACAGGAAGCCTCACAGTACAAGTAACTGAAATGAATCAGAAGGAATATAATATCTGAGAATTTTGTTAAATGATGTATTTACTATAATAAAACATAAAATTGAGACGTCTGTGAGAGAGTTTGGCAGATGTGCAGTAATTAACAGTGAATTACCATTCTAAATAATATGAACTAACTGACCATCTGAAAATGATCATCTTTGGTGACAGATATAAATATATTTGTATCTTCCTACTATATAGGGCAAAAAAGGGAGAAGAAATGGTTAAAAATGGAAGTATTCAATTCTTTTTCTTCAGTCTTTCATCCTACTACACAAGATAATTCAAAGGCCCATGGTAAGCTTTAGGAGGCTGTTCAGATAATTTGGAGGAAAAGTGTAAACAAACAGTTATCCAATTCATGATAATTTCAGAATTACACCATTGATTTTCTTGTATGTTCATATGGTGGAACCTTCAAAACGTCATAAGATAGAATTCATACTACATTCACTTATGATTCACATTGCTTTTGATAATAAAATTGTAATAACAGAAAAAATTACACAGCATGATTCACTAATACAGATTGTGCTGATGTATATTTCAGACATGCCTTTTGTGCTAGAAATGCTAGGTTAGTATCATAAAAAATATTACAGTTAGTATCTAGATCAGATCAGAGGCAACCCTACAGACAGTTGTTTGAAACAATCTGAGGGGCACAGGTGCATTCATTTAACCAGCACATGTCTTTGACAGAAACAATGTGCAAAATGAAGAGAAAGTGTTACATACTAATCCATCAACTAGCACTTGTCAGTTCTCATATGAATCAATTTGTATTACACTTTATATACACATGGTAGGTTATGTAATTGCAGTGATGTGTAGGGTTTCATATGCTTGATTTATTGTTGTGGATTTATATGCATTGTTCTGTTGACTACTTGCTGATTTAGCAAGCTTGTGGTCTGACAGGTTCTGTATCCAATGGCTTCGGTCTTGTATGGATGTGCTGGAACGTGTAATAAATACAATACAATACAAGTCTATCTCAAAGAGCAGTTTGGCATACATTGCACAAGCAGCAGTTGTGTCCTTTTCATGCATAACTTGTACAAGTGCTACAGACAATTAACTCAGCCTTCAGTTCTGGTGGTCACATCTAAACCAAACTGTAGACGAATCTGAATTTTTCTGTCATGTATTTGGGCTGATAAGGCAATATTCCCACAATGTGAAGAAAACAATCTGCAAGACCTACATGCTACTCAATGCTCTTCAGTCTCAGAAAAATTTAGCATCAATATTTCAGCCACAATCAGGGACAATTACCTAACTGTACCACATTACTTACTTACTTACTCATGGAACTGAGACCTTCTTGAGGAGCCGCCAATTCTGCAGCTGCTCAAGAATTTCCCAGCATTTTATGGAACCCAAAGGTTCATTACCGTGTTCACAAGAGCCCTCCACTGGTCCCTATCCTTAGCCAGATCAGTCCAATCCAATCCATACCTTCCCATCCTATCTCTCTAAGATCCATTTTAATATTGTCCACCCACCTATACCTTGGTCTTCCCAGTGGACTCTTTCTTTCTGGCTTTCCCACCAATATCCTATATGCATTCCTCATCTCCCCCATTCATGGTACATGCCCTGCCCACCTCATCCTCCTTGACTTGATTATCCCCCAACTGGACCACATGAGGAAAAAAATCATCTCTGCAGAAAATAATATATTTCAGCTTCCTGTTGCACTGATTAACAATTAAATTTGAAATCAGGCAGATACTTCAGTCAACTCTTGATTATCCAGGATAATGGTGGGGATGGAAATCACAATTAATCAAAAACCCGGTTAAGACAAATTTTATTAAAAGTAGTACTGTAATATGGTACCTTCATAATACTATAGGCCTACCTGTATTTAAATTTATTCAACCTCATTTTTATGTCATCTCATGGCCTATTTAATACTTTTTTTACATTACACTGAAATATGAATTAGTTATTTCTATCACAGTCTTCAACAACATCCTACATTTTTTACAAATATTCACACTTAACACTTAAAAAGAATTTAATATTGTCGTTTACTTTTTCGTGGCATTTTCCTTTTTCTGTTGAATACTTAACACAACATGCTTCCTTTTACATCCTGACATTTTGCTAACGCACTTGAAGATCGATACAAAGATACTAACTGGGGCGGTGTATCTGTCCTTGAAACTTTCCACAAATCCTTGCATTCTTTCACCCATACCCTAGAACATTGTGTTAGCATAACAGGACCAAAGAATGCAGAGCTCGGTTCACACTAGTGCGAAAATAGTGTTACAACTTGCCATGTGAAACAAAAGTGAATGAATATTAAACAACACATAAGCCTCAAAAAAGCCTCAGTAGCCCTGGTTAAGCCGCAAACCAGTTAATCCGCCCCTGGATAATCGAGAGTTGACTGTAGTTCTATGTAATTGCTGCACAGTACAATGAACAATAACAAGAAAAAGCAATGCGGTGCAGCAATTATGTATAAGTGTCTACTTGATGAAGAACTTATAAGGCTGAAATATGTCAAAGACATAATATTTATAAGTGGCACTGTAGCACACCAGCAGCCTATGAGCATGACAAGAAATTGCACCTTCAAAATTGTCACTGCAAATTAAATCTGTGGAATCCAGTATCCTGATTTTCTTGAAAGAACACTTCCCTGTGGAAGCCTCCCACATTGAAACAAGCACGAGCAAGTCAGTGCAGACCACGGCAGCTCAAACGCCCATTGGGTCGGGTGCCACCAGCAACAGCGTATAAAGATGCGGACCTCTGACATGCTAGTCATTCACAGCTATGCTTACATCAGGATGGCTTATCTGGAGCACAGACAGCAACAGCGAGTCATTGACTAACCAATCACTTTCCAGGTATGTGGATCACCTATGAGGGTGTGACCACCTGGCCTCCACAGTCTCCTAGAAAACCCACTTAATATTTTCTTATGGTATGTATCAAAGATAAGGTACAAGATTGTAACAGCCTGGCAATTGCTTCTTGTGTGGTTGTGGTGGATATTAGGGGGCCAACCTAATCACATGCACAAACACATATACATATATCCATTGATTATATCATACTTCAGATATTTGAACACTGCTTTGAACACAGAACAACTGTCCAATCTGACATGACAAGCAGAAATTTAAACTGACTGCTTAACACTGCAGTGTACTTTAACTATGACCCACAAAGGGTTGTGATGCAAATGATAGAAACTGCCATACCAATGTTAAGAACTAAGAAACTGAGTGACACCACAGCTGTGAATGTTACACTGATGCAATCAAGCCAGAAGCCAAAAGCAGCACTTGTCTCCAGTGTGAGAAACCATGTTGATGTATGCAAATCCTGAGGAAGAAATGAGCTGAATTATATAGAGTCACTTGGGAGCATCACTTACAATAAAATCCCTACTTAATATCCCTCAATTTCAGATTGTCTTCAATTAACAATCAATTTCAATGATCCCAATTCAATAAATTTAGTGTTATGTTATCTCCAGTTAGATTTTCCTCAGTTTAGTCTTCAAATCCACTGTACCTCAAAGAAATCTTAAATGGGAGTTTCATTACTGTTTGTGTGCCTGTCACTGGAAGCACCATTTACAATTTATAATAAATTTCTGGGAAAAATTATTTTTGTTTTGTTTCTGTGGCTTCAATTAAATGCCTTCTCCTGCTTAAGACATTACAAGGAATTAATAAGGAAAATTAGTGATTGTCATCACAACTACTATTTTTGTAATTATAAGTAGTATAGCAGTGTTCCAGCAGATGGGAATGGAAATGTGCTGTCTTCAGTTCCAGGCATCACATTAGAGAAAATGGGAAAGAGACACTTACTGTAGATGGAGAAATGAAAGTTTGGTTCACAAGAATGTGCATGCAAAAGGCAGTACACTGTACATAAATTTACAACAAATTTAAAAAGTAATAAACATACAAGGAAACATGCACATAGATAAATCACACTGCATTTCTTCACTTTTTAGAATATAGTTCAAATCTGATTTTCTGTCAAAGAAAACAGTGTACCAAAGACTAACAAATGAATGAAAAGGCAGTACATTTTATTTAAAAGAAACCAGTATCATGAAATTTGATCATAACAATGATGAACCTTATGGGTCAAAGATTACCCACACACAACAAATGAAGCATGAACTTATTTCTGCCATCACAAAGTTAATGAGACTTTTATTCTGCTTACCTGATGATTATCAAATTCTTTGATAACCATTTCCTGAGCTTGGGATGCTCGGATTGTGGACAGGCCATTAAGAGATGCAGATAAATGAGAAAACACAGGACTCCGAGCTGCAAAAATATGATCTAATTATTATGCTGCTGCACAAAGCAATAATCATAATGCCAAAAGAAAAATTAGTGTCATAAAGAAATTGTTGTACACAATAAGAAGACAAGCTCCTTTAAATATTTCATACTTCACTCCAATTATGAGATCTGTTTCACAAATGGCAAGATCAGTACTTTTTCTGTCAAAGAAATGTTTCCAGAAGGCTCATGAGTTTTCCAGAATTTGCCAATATTGTCTGGATATCACCAAATCAATCCTGAGTTACAGTGTGCTTGGAATTTATAATATATATTTACTATCTGACCCTCTCCCTTTATGTGCTAGCAATAATGGTGCTCCTTGAAGGACATTATGAAATAACATGTAATCTGAAGTAGCTGTCAAAAACTCAAGCACATGCTGCACTAACATTATTATTAGGAGAAAGAACCCTACAACAGGATTCATAGGCTTCCAGGAATTAGTGTACCTTTACCAAGCGAATATTTTAAAAGGGCTGAGAATGGATCAGTACTGCAAAATGGAGTTAAAATATTAAAAATGTATTATTTCTAAGCCAAAACAATAAGATTATTCCCAACACAAGGAATAAAGGTAAAGCTGTCCTTGTGTTTAACTAATTAAACACAATGCCATGAAGACATATGGGAGAGTGGTTGTGTAGATCCAAGAAGGGAGATGGAGGCCAAGGGATGCATTCAGATGAGGATGTTACAACCCACATTGAACCTACACTAGAAAGTCTTTGCCAGTCGGAATTATTCACCAGCTTAATGCAAGAGGCTGAAGGAAATATGAATCCAGAGCTTGAATGAATAAGGGGTGGGCCTTCTTTGCCCTTGCACTGTGACCACAGTGATCTATTGTGCTTAAACCAGAGCTTACAAACCAAAGCCATAGCCCACAAGACAAGTCACCAAAAGTAAGGAAGAAAAAGAAACAACTTGATAAAGGAAAATGAAAAAAATTCAAGGTGAAAAAGGGAACATTGACTCCATGAATAATGAGACAGGAAGTACTCTGAAAAAGAATGCCTTGCATAACAACAGAGCGATTTCAGATGCTGGGGAAAAAGCAGAGAACCATCGCCAAAAAGAAAAACTTTCATCTGCTGAATCAGATAGAGGATCGTATTTGATGTTTTTGAAAAGAGAGATCAGAGAACAAGGGTTGACATGGCCCTTGATGACACTGGAAGTGTGCAAGTTACTGGATCAATCAACGATCAAGTATGATTTGATAGAGCCAGAGGCATGGAAAAGCTGGGAAATTACCTTTCTCTCGAAGTGCAGCAAATCAAGCTCTATCAAAGCGTAGTCCTGTCGCAAAAAGGATTCTTCATCTGGAACCCTTGTACGAATATCTATAGAAAAAGAATAAGAGAAATCCTCCTGGACTGTACTCCCCTGGAAACTGAAGAACTGTAAAGGACAAACCCAAACCTCAACATAACTGATGTTACAAGGATGAGATGAAAGGAGAAAAATGATGGAAAAGCCATATGGGTGGACAAGTTTTTGACCTCCATAACAGTAAGGAATAAAGAACTACCAAATTATGTATATTTATCCCTATTTAGTGAAGATTCTTGAAAGAATAATAAGCTGTAGACTAAATGGGTGGCTAGAACACCATGAATAGCTACCCGACCTACAGTTTGGATTCCAGGAAAATAAATCCTACCTTGATAGCCTGGCACTGATGTATTCTGACATAGTAAATGTCTTTGACAACAGTAAAATAGTTGGAGCTGTTTTTCTGGACATAGAAACAGTATATGATAGTGTATTGGTAAATATCTTCAGTGAAAGACTAGCAGAAATGAATATCCCAAAGCTAATAATCTATAGTGTTACTTCAGAAAGACACTTGAGCATCAAATTCGACACTACTAACATGAACAGAAGAGTTACATGTGGCTTGCCTCAAAGAAGTGGGTTAAGTCCGCTGCTATATAACATTTATATGGTGTCTCTGGACAAAGGCATTATAGGAATATGCAGAGTGTTACAATTTGCAGACAATGTGGCTATGTACACCACAGACACAAACCCAGATGAAGCCCTACCAAAACTGAAAAACTCAACCAAAGAGTTAAGTCGATATCTCAATGATAGCAGATTACAATTAGCCCCTGAAAAAATGTAAACTGTATATATTCAAGAACAAGAGATCACAAATAGAAAAGGAGTGGGCAATCAGCAGCAATGGCAAAATGATTCCATTTGAAAAAGTAGTAAAATTCCTAGGACTATACGTTGAAGCCGATCTAAAATGGAATCGTGAAGTGGAAGCTATTAATGTGTAAATAATTCACAAATACAGGCACCCAGCAGAGTGGTTGCTATTATAACACATTATAAAGTCATGCATAAGACCCAAAAACGTCCTTTATTTTAAACACACTCACACACACACACACATGCACATGTAAACAGAAATGCACACAAACATGCACACATGGTGCTGATGTTACAATATGCTACATTTTCTAACCTGAGTAGCTTGTTCAGATACCAATGTTCGTGACTTACTGGTGCCTTCGAGTCGTTTGACATCTTGTGCTGTTGCCAAATATATTCCACGCACCTTATAGAAGAGGAAGGCCATTACAACCATGGGTACCAGAAGCCAGTAGTTGACTATGGTAACCAAGGTCAGGATTCCAGCCATTACAAGCAGCACCTGTAACATTCGTGTACATTATGACCTAACTCTAACCTCAAAATGATGTTATGTTTATGATATCACCATACTGTCTGTGTGTCTCCAAATACTTAGAAAAAACATGATGACATCATCCACCCATAACTATCTCTGCAGGTGCAACAGCATTGATATACACAGTATCAATTTTACAGCACCAAATTGAAGTTCAACTTAATACCACTTATTATAATTCTCATTATTCCTGCACCATTCATCACATATTGACTGTAATATATTTTGTACATGCATGCTTTTCATGACATCTACAGTCATTTCTGTATACTTCATTCAAGGCTGATTGAAAGTATGTTTAAGACACCAAAGATTAAATAACTAACATCAATGCTCTAATTTCCCACCTTTTATGGAACCAAAAGGTTCACTTTCATGTTCACAAGAGCCTGCTTACAAACTCTATCCTAAACTAGACAAATGCAATCCATTCCCCAATGCTCTGTTTTCTTAAGATCCAATTTAATAATGGCCTTACAACTACATTTAAATCTCTCAAATGGTCTATTCACTTTACATTTTCTGATTAAAATGTTCTATGCATCTATCTATGAGCCACTTAAAAGAATAACATCTACTTGGGGGTCAGCACCATGCTGATACACATAGATGTTCAATGCTCTCTGTCTGATTATGTGAGGGATACTTGTGTGCAATTGAAACACATATCCATACCACAAGTAGCACATTAGCAATTACTGTAAACATTAACTTCAAAGAAATAATGGTTTTAATTGCTTCAAATACATCCTTTTATTCTCACAAAACTCACAAAACTTGAAGAATTAGATAGGCACATTTCTGCCATATATCACCTCAGACGTTTCAACTCAACCTCCATGTAACAGCATGGCAAATTATACAGTATTAGAGACATCCTGTACATCTGTAATACACTTATAGGAAATGGGAAGTAGTTTCATACCTGAATGGTTTCCAACATTGCCTTTGGAAGCTGTTCGTCCACTGCACCCATGTCTTTCGAAAATCTATTGAGTACACGACCTGAAAAAAAGTATTGTGATAATGTTCTCATATGTTTCCATTCATCTGATACTGTGTTCATTAAGTTTCCATTCTTATTTCAAAAAAGTTTTCACAAAATTATTAGGTATCAAGTGCATTATTCTCCTTAACTTCGAGTTCACTTTCTGTCATTGTGCTATGTATCTTAATTTTAAGGTGTTTTCTTGATGTCTTCTTCCTTTGTATTGGATGTTAATTTTTGTAAACCTACATGAGTTCACTCCTCCTCTTTTCTTCTGTCACACTGAATAAAATGTGTTATTGCTTGAATAAGAAAAACCCATGTGCTATACTGAAGCTATAAAATCAAAATACATTGCTGGGATGTCTGCATGTATTTATGTTTCTGAAGGTCAAAGCAACATAACTAGTATGGAAATTTTCTTAATCAGAAGTCTGTGATTGCCACTGCTCTCATGTTTCACTTTAGACCCACTGCATACATCCATAAAACACTGCATGACTCAATTGTTGTACACAGTGAAAACATTAAAAATGACAACTATGATGTATATAGCACATAAGACAAACATTCTACAGATGTCTCATTAATAATAAAAGTGCTTCAGCTCACACTGCTTTAACATGGCTTGACAAGTTGAGAAATCGTGAAGTACACTAAGTAACTAATTTACTATCTTCAGGGAGCAGCATCATTTTTGAAAAGTTAATAGATGCTCAGACCCTACCTTTCACAGAACCCAATGGTTCATCGGAGCAGTCTGCCATCTGATCCCTGTCCTGGGCCAAATAAATCCATTACACATCCTCATACAGTATTTCTTTAACATCCACTTCTTACTAGCCTCCCAGGTATGACTAGATCTCCTGAGCAGTTTCCTTCGTGCAGCTTTTCCAACTAAAATTCTATATGCTATAGGCCATGTCCATCAAATACTCCTTAATTCAATTATTTTACAAATATTTTGTGAAAAGTAAAAAGTATAAAGCTCCTCGATGGATATAGATATATGAAAACATGTATTTATAAAGTAACCAAATGAAAACTACCACAGAGCTAATATGTACTATGTGTAAATACATTATTACTATTGTTGTTGTTGTTAATAAAAAATAAAATAAACATGAATTGAACTGAATTAATGTTTTACCTGATGGATTAGTGTCAAAAAATCTCATTGTTGCAGCTAAAATGCTTCCAAACATAGTGTCATGAAGAATTTTGGATGCTGTCATGCACACTTTAAAGAAGAAGATGGATCGTATTGAAGTAATAAAGACACTTCCCAAAATGAATGCAAAGTAGATATATATGGCTGTGTCTGTATCTAACAGTCTTGGTAACATGGTGTTAAATGATGTTGATTCTTCATATTCCACTGCAGTAGTCTCAGCAAGAGAAGGTAGCAATGTTATGAAATCCCCAGATGGAGAAATACTGGCTGTAAGATTAGATAGTGAATATTCTGTGGGTTGATCAACAAAAGTCGTGTTAGGCTGAAGGTTCTCCATGGGACTGTCAGTGGAGTTCAATTGATCCCTCTGAATAACCTTATTAACATAGTACTGCTTCAGCTCCTCTTGGTTTGTCCTGTAACAAAATGAATGATCTATAAATTATGTCATATTTACACATTTTGAAAAAATGTTAGTGAAGTTAATGAAGTGTTACATTACAATTAAAACTGAACTTGCACATACTTTACATCTTCATGCCCAATTTGCTATAAGAATTTGCTATCGCTAGAATCTGTATTCTAAATAACAGTAAATTATAGTGCAGATACAAACTTCTGATCAAAATAGTGGTAGTCTGAAAGTTGCAGTAACTGATACTTACATTACACCACAAAACGTGAAATACATTACAGCTAAGTAACTGGTAGCTACATGTCAATGAACTTCAAACTACCTTTCAATTATTACAACAACTTCTATTCTTAAAATACATATTTTTGAAAATGCACATAACATATAGCATAAACTTGATCAAGAGATATAAAACTCCTTTGTTAATAAAAGATTTACACTACAAGTAACTAATTTTTATTTGATTGTGCTTGTATGGGGATGGAAATTACAGAAGTGAAGCTGTAAGAGAGCTCACTTTCACATTAATTCTACCTTGTACAAAACACTTTATCAATTATTTTTATTAATTTTTGGTTTTGTTTCACTATAGGCATGCAAAGTGGAACCACATGTCAAAGGTGAAGACCTTTTTTTAAACAAAATTGTAACTTATGAGACTCTTAAAAATTATATGGTTGCTCAATATATTAATATGTATATTTTATGATATCAGTGTTCTGGAGCAACTACAGCCACATCTGTCCTCTGCAACTTGTTTTTGGACAACCAGTCCTACATAGCATGCAACTTCTTCATGCTGCCCACTTCCATCCCAGAGAAGAAACAGTATTCTTCAAAAAACATTCTCAATCACTTACCAGACTTTAAATCATAACTCATAAAACCACAACATGAATTACCACTGTTACAGAAATTTCAAAAAAGCTTACAGATCAAAATCTTACATCAGTTACTTGACACACCAACTACAATTATCACACTTTATTTAAAATGCTTGGATTCTGCATTACAGATCTAATAATCATATTATGAAGTTTTAATTTTATTTCTTATTTAATTTTAAAATTTCTAAATTTATATTTATGTAACTGTTTTGATGTACTTGTTATGAAAATAATTACTTTTAAAAAATATATTCAGACTTTCCTACAAATGCAATTCTGATAAGGTCTTTCTAGAATAATCATCAACTATAATTTGGTTATTCCCTAGTAAGTCCTTTGTCTATGTTACATACATAACCTTCACTGTTCACACAGAATCATATAAGAACAGGTGAAGATAGCTTCAATGAAACCAACAGACAAAAGCAGGCTGGCATTAAGGTCCTTGGACCGTGACATTCTTTAAGTCACACATGTCCCCTGGGTAGTGCAAAGTGAGCAACAAATCTGGCAAAGCTTCCCAAAAGAAAAGTGCAAACTTCTTCAAGATGCAACAAAGAAAGAACTTTAATGCTCTCTATTGGGAAGCAAGAAGCAAAATGGGTTAAATGATCCAAAATACAGCCACTGGAAATGAACCAACCAACCAACATTTTCTAAAGAAAAATTGTATGCTGAACAACTCCAGTATATTAGTGGTAACAAATGAACAAACTAGTCTGAGTTATTCACCAATATGTAACCCAAAAATCTGCTCCACTAGAGGCCATCTGCCCAATGATGAGGATAAGAACCAGAAGGATAAGTATTAAGGATGATGCGCCAGACTGGAAGTACTTGAAGTAGACAGAAGCCTTCAGCTTTCCTTTCGCAATTAATTCAGCATTCTCTTCAGCCTCCTCATCTTCATCTTCATCCTCCTCAAACTGTGGCTGCAAAACAATGGAAGAAACTGGCTTTGGCCAAGCACATATCTTATATACTGACATTCAGATACAGCATCAGTGCCACCATAGGCTCCATATTTTAATAGAAAGGCAGGATCAAGGAAGGGAAAGACAATGACATAAGAAGGGAACGGACCAAATACCAATCGGTGTGTGAAATCCAAGTGTAATTTCTTTTTTTTTTTAATTTTAATTTGCATAGTGGGGGGGTGGAGTCTAGCTGGGTCCACTCAGCACGTCGGCCACTGACTGGCCAGTTGTACCTGGGTCACCACAGTGGGAAGCCAGCGACTCACTGCTTGAGCTATGGTGCGGCCAATCCAAGTGTAACAAACTTTACTTCTGTTGACAGCTACCATAGTTACTTGTGCAACTAACCCATTACTTTGTGTATTTTTCTTTTCATTAAAAGGGTGGATTAATTATGTGGTTCTCTCCTTACAACACAACAGTCATCATACAAGAAAGAATGAAGTCTAGAAATAATAGAATTTCAAAATATTTATGGCGTTTTCTTTTATAGAAAATAATGAAACCTGTCATTGAAATTTTGCTGTATAATTATTATATTTAACAACATCAATGTCATATTTTCATCTGTTATAAATGGTTTCTTCTTACATATGTAACCCACAGAGTGCACAACAATGATACCTTCTGATTTTAACTCTTCTTCCATATGTTTATTTCTTTAAGTAACACTAACACAGCTGTCTGATGCATAATATATATAAGGTAAAGTTGTCCCCATGCTTAGGTGATTAAACACTATGCCATGGAGATGTGACCTCAACACTAATTGGAGGTGAGTGGTAAGCTTCACGCCCTGGGTGCTTTACCCCTTAGGAAGTGCTCCCGGTATCCACGAGATAGGAAGTTGGGTGGGCCCCAGAGTCGTTCTGGAAGATGTGGAGAAGATAAATTCCCGACTCTATGGGAACTCAAACTCCAACCCCTCGGCTGTCCAGCCAGTAGACAGTTGATATTGTGCCTTAATAATTCACATTTTTATTCTTTTTCCTTATTGTATTGTTGACAGCAACCGTGAGTTTGAAATACCTGACAATGGGGTATGGCTATTTATAGCATTTTCATTCTCAATGGTAGTCATTAAAGAATGGATAGAGATGGACAACATTGCATGCTGAAGGCTGCAGCAACTACAGATCGGTGATGATAAGATGCAATAATAAAGTTAAGCATAAGGATGGTATTTGAACAAACACTGCATGGATTTACATGGTGGCATATTTTCCTATAAAGGCGGGTAATCAGAATATTGGAATTGTAAAGCAGAAGCAGAAATGAGACTGAAGTAAATAATGTAACTTCAGGTTTCACAAGAAACCGAACACAAAGTTAGGCAAAGACTGCTGTTGCCATCTAATCGCATCCAACAATAAGCCCACTGGGAGGAGGAATGGAAGTGAAAGGAAGAATGAAGAGAAAGCAGTGATAATGTTGTGTGGATCAGAGTAAAAGATAAGCAATTAATAGAAAAAAGGAATATGTCATCCTCATAATTTAAATGGGAATATTAAACAATGAAAGAATTTATATGAGCAAATATAGTATTTGTACTGAAACGCAATCTGAAATATTTTTCATCAGGCCCTGTCAGAGTAAGACACAATGTTTAGTTTTAGTTCTTAAACAGAGAGGTTCTCTCTCAAACTCAGTGCAGAAAAATATATTACCTACATATTACCCACAAACATATTGTCACATGTAAGGGGGTACACGTGACAAACACAATGGATTCTAGATTGGATGAATGGATTCATTGGCACTTCGGTTACAATCTCCCCTAATTGTAATCAATACAGCACTACTGCTGATTTACACAATTTACATTTCACTGTTAACACATGCACTAGGATTCTCAGTCTTCACTAGTCGCCTCCTGGTAATAGAATTAAAAGTCTCCCCATGACTAAACCTTCTACTCACACACTAGTCTTCACAGGACATCTTTTAACTCTTCTTCAACTTCCCATGGCAATCTCCTACCGACAACTGAATTCTGGTCCAATTCTCCCCGTCTCTCAATTGTTCTCAGTTATTCTGGGAACCTCATTATATAGCCACGGCATGGACCACATAGAAAACTTCCTCTTCTGTTGTCAGAATTACTGTGCAACATAGCAACTAGTTGTAGCATGGCTCACAGACAACACAGTCCTCACTGTTGCGTGTTCATGGGAATGCATTTACCAAGCCATTGCCTAACAATGCTTTGATCAAATCCATTACAATATCAAAGATTCAAACCTTAATCTTTAGAAGGAATAAAATTTCAAATAAAGGAAGAAAAAAGTATAACCAAAAAATTAAAGAAAATAAGGTTGGCAACATTCCAGATATATGTGAGTTCTGTAGATATGTCCACTGTACTATTTGATGGTCCTTGTGTAATAAAAAAACACAATGTATGGACTAACCTGTTCCACAGAGCATAGTGCTTCTTAAGAAATTTGCAGTCCCTTAGCTAGTCAACAAATTATCTCTCTTGTATGGAATCCAAATGTGTATTACTGTGTTCATGAGAGCTTTGGAACGATGCTATTACATGAGTAGAGTTTCATAGACAAATTAATGTACACTTCTTGAATCTTCTAAAATACTCTTATAAAGTAGTTTCTGAAAAACTTACCTGTATAGAAAACTGGGTATTTAATTTCCTTTGTGAATCCTCATTTTCCATTTCTTCATCTCCTCCTCCCAAAAGATGAGCGAAATCTGTTTTAGAAGCCATCAGTTCCTTGTATGTTCCTTGGGTCTCAATTTTACCCTGAAATAAATCCAAGATATCTAGAAATGTGCAGAACTCATTTTCAGTTAAGTCATGTGACAATGAAATCTCCAAATAAAATCAAGAGACTGAAATTTATTGCTGTACTGCATTCCAACATGCTTCAAAATGGTGATATTCTGTAAAACCCAAGAAGTTGTATATTAACACAGTAAAATTATTTACAGGTTGAGAAAAGGCACAACTTTCCCACTGTGCACAATCATTACATTGCTTTCTGCCTGCCATGATGGGTCAGTAAGATGAGAGTAGTTAATGTTCTCCAATATAATATGATTCAGAATCTTGTAAATAAATTTATATAAAATGCTGTACTAATGTAGAGGAAACTGAAATGTCAACATAAAATATTAACAGAAGAAAGGACGGAGGAAATCAATGCTCAGCTTGAATATTCACCTCATAAGCCTCTTAAGAGCCTTGCACAAGAAACAGGAGTATCAAATGGGATGAGAGAACAAACACAAAGTTATTGAAACTATGGCTTCATATGAGCACAACTGCAGACTTTTGCAGCCATGTGGCCCAATAGGCAGACTAAATTTCTTTAACTGGGATCTTTAGTCAGTCTACAGGGGCGAAGTTGAATGCAAGTTGACATTTCTCAAATAAGGCTTGTTTTTATGAGGAAGGACACACAAAATAACAGATTCTGGAACATAGAAAATTCACACTTTAAACATAAAATTCCAATCCACGATGTAAAAGTTAGTGTTCAGTGCATACTGAGTGTGAAAAAAAGAAAACTGGGCCTCTGTTTTATGCAGAAACTGCTAATTCTAATAGTTATGTTTGGTAAATACTGCAACCATTTTCAGGTGACAGAGAAAACGAAAGCTCTCTGGATTCCAGCAGAATTCAGCAATTGTGCATTAAATGTAAACTAATCTGAGAGCTTTAGAAATGGGTTTATAAGCAGGAGGATCTCAGGGAAAATGTACAATTTTAAATATCCCTTATTTCCAGAGAATAACTACACAGCTGATGTGATTTGTTCAATTCCAGTCCCCTCTACTTTACTTTGACTTTCCTAATGGCTATTCTGAAGCAAAACTAAAAACAATGGTGATTAGAACTTCCACATTACAGACCATTCTGAATAGGAAATGCATCAAACAAATGTTAACCTAGCTGGACTTCATTACAGAGTTCACTTAACCATATTTTTATTAGCATAAATCACCAATGCATGCACCTAATTCAATAAGAATATGCACTGTACAAAAGCATTTTTTTATTTTTACACTATTTTACTCACTTTTTATTTTTTATTTTGTTACTTAATAACACTGTCAGTATTGAGACTATATAACATTGACAATAGGATGATTAAAGAATGTGAAATGTGTCTTGCCAAAGGAACCAAAGTACTTGAATAAAACTGTTACTAGTGCTACTTTGTCAACCATACATCCCAAATGACCTGACCTGAGATGAAACCCAGCTCGCTGCAATGAAAACTGGTGACTAACCGCTTCATCTACGGCACAGCCTGTATGAAACTTCTTTGATAACAAAACTGTATGCTTAGCTGAAGTCTATAAACAACTGATGTACATTCCAGTTTTACTGTACTGAACTGTATGAAAGCAAATATGAGAATTCAGTTAAATAATTGTTACATTAGAAATGCTTAATTTCATTCACATATGAAAACATTTCACTTACATTCTTGAGAATGACAATCAGATCTGCATGACGAAGATACTGAAGTTGATGTGTGACTAGAATTCGTGTTTTGTTTGCAAGAAACTTGGAGATGCATTCATCAAACAAGCATTTGCCTACATGTGTATCTACAGCTGAAAGTGGATCATCTAGTAGGTACACATCGCTGCTCCGGTACACTGCTCTGTGTGGGAAACATCAGGTCATATTTGTATGAGAAATAATACTTCAATTGTAATTTTTATTTCACTCTTAAATATGACATAACAGCCAAGCATCCAGTAAATGATGAAATGCATGGGAGAAAAAAATGCTGGAATCCAGCTAAAAGGGTAATTAAGTTACCCAGATTACAGTCTTCTGGGATATGACACTGCACGGTTTGGTAGATTGGTTCCACTGTTTTGGAGGCACCAGATGTCTCCATCTTCAAACACAGAAGAGAGGCACCATTACTATACTACACAGTGACATATCCCAGAAGACATTAACCTGAATACCCACTGAAGAGAGAACTTCAATTCTCATACAGTAATAAAGATAATCTGCAGAAAGTAAAGTTAAGAGTAATGTGGATTCTGTTCTTGGTGATGGCATTTCATACTGAGAGCATTTCAGATATTTACCTGTATTCACCTTCAAGATAAAGTGACTACCAAGTGACCATTGCCAATAGTTCTAGCACAGATTTATGGGAACTGCTCCATTTTATTCATCAAGAATAGATAGAAACATAATAATATATTTCTAAGAAACCAATCTCTTCTTGCAGGGAAGGAATTGTCCTATATCATGTATAATGATCCATGGATATGAAGTACGAGTAAATAAATAAATAACAGAGCTGAAAAAGTAGGATGACTGCAATGGTAGAAAGCCTAGAAGAAAGTGCAGGCTCGGAATAACAAGAGTAAGAATAGAGAAATAAGTTACAGTAGGCAGATAATGACAATAATAAAACAGAGACCGAAATTAATATCCAAAAATAAGAAAATTCATGATGAAAATGGCATTGATAAAGGCAATAATGAACAAGTTAACATGAGTACATATCCAAATTTGCATAACTCTTTTATAACAAAGGCTAGATGTGCAGAGCACACGGAAGTATTGGTAGATGACCAGAAACAGCATGATGTATAAAGTACTTATAACATCAGTGATATCTTATGCCTCTGAGACCTGGCCACTGTCAAGATCGGATGAAAGACTGTTAAGTATATTTGAAAGGGGGATCCTGAGATATATCTTTGGACCAGTGGAGGAAAATGGAATATGGAGGAAGAGGTACAACCATGAGCTACACAAACTATTTAATTAACCAGACATTATTGGATTTATAAAGGTGAAAAGGCTTGAATGGGCTGGGCACATAATATGTGTCAGCGAAAATAGAACGATTAAGAAAATACTTAATACTAAACCAGAAGGAAATAGGAAAGTGGGAAGACCAAGATTGAGATGGAAAGAATGTGTGTAAGGACATAAGAATTTTGGGTGTAAAGAACTGGAGGAATGTATCATCAAATGGGGAAGAATGGCGAGCAATTCTGAGGAAGGCCAGGGCTCACAAAGGGCTGTCATGCCAGTGGTGGTGGTGGTGGTGATGATGATGATGATGACGATGATGATGATGATGACGATGATGATGATGATGACGATGATGATGATGATGATGATGATGATGACCAGAAACAGCTGGAGAGATTGAGTGGAATATTCTGTTTGCCATCCAAGGAAGTTGAAACAATATAATGCTCACTGTGAATTTAAACTGCCTCAGCCAAAAATTTGAAACAAGAAGATGAAACTTTATGTCATAAAAGATGAGTTTTTTGCAGGCAATAACTGACAAAGAAAAAGTGAAAAATCATTAGTAAGTAAGAATGAATCTTCTAATATACATTACACCACTTCAAAAAATATTAAACCACATAGCACAAAGGTTAATCATGCAACACAAACTTCATACATTTTGGGAATAGTAATGGTGCTGCCATGTCATAATAACTGATGGGATCTGGTTAGTAATTGGATTTTTCTGACACTGAATCATCTTGTAATCACACTAATATTATGAAGAAGTTAAATAGTTCCGTCCAGTGTGACTGGTTAAGATTTTCTTATTTCAATTATTCATGCTCTTACATGTTTCGGTCTTCAGGGACCATCTTCAGAGGGACATCTTTACATCAATACTGTTAGAAGCCACCATTACGGTACAAGTGTCCCTCTGAAGATGGTCTCTGAAGACCGAAACATGTAAGGACATGAATAATTGAAATAAGAAAATCTTAACCAGTCACACTGGACGGAACTATTTAACTTCTTCATAATATTAGTGTGACAGACCACAATGAAACAAATAAAAAAAAATAAAATTACAACACTTTACATGTAGTTATAGGATTTCACAGTATGTTACAGCACTCTTACACTCTATGTTGTGGACTCTGATAACATGGACTCTTCTATTAGCTCGCAGACTCTATGTATATTGTGTGGTTGCAAACTGACAAAAAAACTCTGCCCCCAACAGTTTCTTGACTATTTTGCCTAGTAATGGATGCTTCTGCAATACATCCATGATTCCAGAATTCCTAAGTTTCTGGTTTCTAGATGCCATGTCACATTATGAACATCATTTACATAAAAGCTAACCCTCCTCTTGATTGAAGGTTATTCTTTTTCTTTATATTTTTACAATTTTTTTTTAAATATGCATTCTCAGTTGACTGAAATCTGTCCATTTTGTGGTAACTGGCTGTACTTTAATATTTGATGATCAAATTATCAGTACAAAACAGAAAAATCTAAACTGCCATATTATTATTAAAGCAAGTTTACTACTTCGTACATACATCATCAGACTCAACAAACCTGGCCAAATTGATGCGGGCCCTCTGACCACCACTAAGTGATACTCCTCTCTCGCCAACAATGGTTTTATCCCCATGTGGAAATAGTTCCAAGTCTCTCTTCAGAGCACAAACTTGTATCACTTCTTTGTACCTCTCTGGATTATATGGTTGTCCAAACAAAATGTTTTGCCTCACTGTTCCAACAAATAGCCATGGCTCTTGTGAGCTGTATGATACATCACCACCCACTATGAGTGAACCATCTGACAGGGGCAATTCTCCCAGTACTGCTTGTAGCAACGAACTCTATAATATAATATAAGCATGTGTTCTGGTTAGACAACATAAAAGACAAAAAATATCAAAATGCTTAACTCTTTGACTGGCGCGGGCGTGTTTTAACGCCCAGACGATGCCAGCCGTTCCCTGGCGTTGGCGTGTTTTAACGCTTTGACAATCTCTTCCCTTCTTTGCTCTCTTGGCACTCATCAACCAAAGACATATATATGATAGTTTTTGTGCATGTTTGTGAAGAACCCTTGTAAACTTTGTGGGGGTCTGTATTACTGTCAGAACCCTCTGAGAAGGAAAAGGTCTGAAAATATTTCACATTCATTCAGTTTCACCATGGGTTCTTGCAGGAAGTGTCTTCGTGTTCCTACAGACCAGCTGGAAAATGTTGTGAACGAGATCTGTTCTGATGATGATAGTGGCGATGAAATAATGATTCCTGAATTGGATGAAGTTGATAGTGACAATAATACAGTGATAGACAATGATCCACAAGACAGTAATCATGAACATTTACCTACCACGAGTGCGGTGCCTGACACGCCCATCTCATGAACGTACGGAGACATTGTACCCCCAATATTTCCATTTGCTAATAGTTTCGGGATCAAAATTGATATAACACATAAAATGCATCCCTTTTCATGGATTAAAATTTTTTCTGGATGACGACTTGGTAAATCACATCACAACTGAAACCAATCGCTATGCTCACCAGCACTTCAACACACATGAGTTAGCTCCTCACTCTCGAAAACACAATTACAATTATGTCACATCAGATGAAATCTGGACATACTTAGGAATTGTGTTCATGACAGGAATCGACAAACGCCCTGAAATTGAAGAATATTTGTCCACTAGGCCCCTATTTCACACCCATGGTATGGACAAAACATGTCTTTGCGGTTGAATAGTTTCATTCTATTCAAAAAGAACACAACAAACGAAAAATACAAGAAGAGAAATTACAGATTCAAAGATTTTATATTGGACTGTGTAGAAAAATGACTGAACCAAACAAACAGGTGGAGAGGGAAAAGGGTCAAGGAATGAAGTGGATGACGAATCTATTGAGTCAGACTCGAGTGCAGTCACGCCTCCACCCACGACCTTGGAAAGACCACCAGTGAAAGAGCCAGTAAATCATCTAGAGGGTGGCTTGAAAATTCACAAAATAGTCCATGTTCCTCCCAGTAACAAGAAGAATGGTGTCCTGAGAAAGTGTCGCGTAAGTGCTAAGCACAAGATTAGAAAAGAAACAAGTATCATGTGTGCAGGCTGTGGTGTGGCTCTCTGCAAACTTTCATGTTTCAATATTTATCACATGAAGAAAAACTAATAAAGAGGTATGGAAAGGCATTTATTGCATAAAATATTGTATTTTTATTAGTTCCTGAAAATTTCGTTTTTAAAAACCAATTTTTGTTGAAGTTGTTTAGGAAAAAGTAACTACATGCATTTTACCGACATAAGGTTTAAAGGGCCTGCCAGGACAGGGGTGGGATTTAAATACCCTTCACGCCAGTCAAAGAGTTAAAATGTATTTTTTGGTGAAGGCATTTTAGGAAAAAATTGTTTGAATTTCCGATTTCCACAATGTTCCAAAATAAATATCAACTTACTGACAACTTACCAGTGAAATATTTGAAGGTACTGGAAGAAAATTAAATTCTTCTATATTTATTTTTAATTGATTTGATAATCATTGGGAAATGTCACACTTCATACTGTGTTAATGGTGCAGAAAAACAATGGTTTGAGAATAAATTTTCCTCCTAAGAAGTCATTTAACGCAAACTTGTTGGAACTTTGAAATTTCCTTTGATATCAAAATTTCTCCTGAAAAAAGGGAATGAAAAATGTCTAGTAACACAAAACTTCTTTTATTAAGTGTGCTTCTGAGGAACTACTGAAGTTTTTCTTCTCAGAAACTTTCACAGATTCAGTAGCATGGACATCACACTAACATCCTCAGAATTCGTACGATCAAGGTATACTGCCAAATAAAAGATGCACATGTTAGACTTACAGAAATGGACCTTGAGTCTTGCTAGTAAGATGTGTTTACTCACTAAAAATGGTTATAAAGCATACATTTTGGTTTGGAACATTCAAAAACAGAAATTTTTACCTTATCTTCACAGGTCTTCCTTTATATCTGACTTGATTTCATTTTTCAGGTAGGGGAGTACAATCCTATGATGTGTTCTTTTCAATTTGTTTAAGCACTGCATAAAATTAGCTTCTGGCCAAATTTGTAATTCTGCTGTTGTTTCATTGGTGTTAAAATAGTTTCTGTATTTAATCATGCTTCAAGCCAAAATCCTGAGAAACACCAATCCCATACTTACCTTGCCCGAGCCAACAGGGCCTATTACAGCACAGAGTTTGCCTGGCTTTACCCATAGATTGATGTGGGTTAGAGTGTCAACTATGGAATTAGATGTCCATTTTGCAGATCCATTTGTAATGGTGACCCCCAGCTTCTGGTCTTGTTCATGGTTGATGGTAGCCTTATTATTACCATGATAAACACTCTGCATCTCTTCAAGAAGCAGAAAATCCTGGATTACAGGACACAACAAAATATTAGTCACAAAACAAGTTCTTCCTCATCTGCTTAAGGAGGCAGCCTTTCTACCATTTATGTGACTGATACAACATTTGGAATAGACTAGAAGACACAAATAATGTTTTATCAATTTTTTCAATGTTTTCTGCAGCCATAGTTTGCCAATAAAGAATGAAAACTTTCCCATTCTGAACCATTGCATTCATATGCATGTACATAACAGGCAGCATGTGTCACACATCATATCATACCTTGATGATGCAGACAGTTTGAAACATACTTTAATACCATACCAACACAACTAGCTTAATGCATACATAGATTTCACTTTATCAATCTCCATGAAAACCTAAGGCTTTTTGTTTCATTTTTAGTGTTGGTAGTATTATGTTATTTCCTTCCATCCCTATCCTAAAACTTCACTGCATATTTGCATCATCACTTGCAATCTGCAGATACCAGCATAGGCACTGCCATACGTTTCTCTGGGGGAGTGAACCAGTTTCAGAATCATTAATATTTGTTATAGAGTCATGCCATGGGAGCTGGAATAGCATACTCAGTATAGCGAATGACTACAGGCTGCCCAACCGAGTTGTCAAATTTCAAGTCCCCATAGGGTTAAGAATTTTCCTTTCTCCTTGTCACTCAGACCAGTTCTGGGGCCCACCCAGCCTCCTAACTAACAGGTACTGGGGGTTCTTTCCACGGGGATAAAGCAGCCGAGGCATGAAGCTGAACATTCACCTCCAACTAGTGCTGAGGTCAAGAAAAATGTGATCTATACATCCAGCCCCCATACGTCTTCATGGAATAGTGATTAATTAGTTAAGCACAGGGACAACTTTATCTTTTTTTTTATGGTAATACCTCAACCTATGACTTCCCAACTTCCAAATTCCCAACTTATGATCATATTAAAATACTTTATATGGGGCATCCTGTTGCATGATCAAACTAATCTAATTGCAGTGTTCTGTCTATGCAACTATAAAAATGTATACCCATTCAACTGTTTATTAAAAATCACTACATGTTTCAACTGTCCAATTGGTCATCATCAAGTCATACAATACTTACAAGTGTTTTTGAATTGCAACTAACATATGGGCAATGTTATATTTTAGCGTCCTGTTACACTGATTCATGTCCATGGTTTATGCTGACCATCTTACAGTGTATACACTGCTGGATCTGTGTGTGACACACAGATCCAGCAGTACAACGCATGCAGTAACAGGAGCAAAACACAACACAGAACACGGTACAAAAATATATGTAGGAGGAATGTTTATATAAAAGAGGATTGGCGTAATTCACGTGTTTTGAGTGCAATGTAGGAAGAATCCTGAAAAGTTTTATTATTTAGAATTCATCGTCCTATATGACGAATACAGATTTTAGTCATTTTAGAATGGAGACATTGTGGCATGCAGTACAATAGTTTAACGTGCATAAAGCCACCTGAAGATGGCACATTAGTGCAGAAACATGTAGTGTGGAAGTGAAGAATAAGGTGAAAAAGTGTATACACTGTAAGACGGTCAGCATAAACCATGGACATAACATATGGGCCCATATATACAATTGTTTCTGAGTACTATCTGTGCTGGATTCATTGACATAAAACATAAAAATTATAAAATTATAAAGCTGTTACTTTACAATATTGATCAGATAAAACTGATCATATAACACTGAAGCAAAATTAGGTAAAATGTAGTCAGAGTAAAAAGCACTATAAGGGGGTAGTCCCTTCTTCCACATGTTAGCTCAGTGTTGATTAGCATTCGTAACACATGCGACGCTTTGGAAAAGATACTAGGGTGTTACTTAGTCTACTAGGCTGTCGCCCTTCACTTGTGTTCTCTTAGGCTGTATAGTTCAAGCTATACAGATAATAGACAGAAATGATTGTAAATATGGGCCCATATGTTAGTTAAAATAAACAACTGTAAGTATTGTATAACCTGATGACCAATTGGATGGTCAAAACATGTAGTGATTTTTAATAAACAGTTGAATGGCTATACATTTTTAGATTTGCATAGATGGAAAATGGCAATTAGATTACTATTAAAATACACTCACACCTTGACCTACAACTTCCTTACTTACAAATTTCTGGACCAACAGTCCCATTAAATTAACAAGCATTAACACTAGCAACCCAAATTTTCAGACTTAGACTTCAGAACTTGAATTTTAGACTCACACCATGCTTTAATGTTATGGTGGCCTGAATCACAAATCTTACCATTTCATAGTAAAATGTTAATTAATTAATTATTAATTACTTTCAATGCTTATGATAGTTTAAATTCTTAATTATACGTTATCTGATATCCCTTTAAAATTCTGTGACAAATGCAACAATATTATAGCTTATTTGAGGTTAAAATATGGAAAAATGAGTCTGACCCTTGAGCTCCAGGAACAGAACATTATACATTCTGTGTTACAGTGAACACGACTTACAACCCACTTTCAGTAACGTGTTAAGTCATAAGCCCAAGTCTTGACTCTATTTCCTTCTTTACAATGAGCTTGAGTTTTCTCATACTCCTAAAATAAAATTAAGAATCTGTAGTTTGCAATGTCATTTTAAGTAGTCCGGTAGCATAGTTGGTTGAGGCACTATGCTACAAGCCGGCAGGTGGCCCTATGCTACAAGCCAAAAGGTTGCGGGTTCAAGTCCCAATGAAGTCATTGGATTTTTTTCAATTGACCTAATCCTTCCAGCCACACTATGGCCCTGGGGTTGACTCAGCCTCTAACAGAAATGAGTACCAGGAATATTCTTGAATATTCTTGGGGGTAAAGGGCAGCCAGCTCCTAAGGCTGACAACCTTACCACCATCTATGAGCTCATTGTCTAGAAAATGTGGGAACCTCAACTTCTCACAGACCTATGGGCCTCCACGTCTTATTACAGGGATACCTTTACTTTACTTTACTTACCAATTTCATTAAGCTGTACTATATAAAGGATAGTGAACAACCACAAACATTTAGCATGATGATACCTACTGTGGGAACATCCCACATTATCACGCATCAGAGTCAGAGTCAGAGTCACGTTGCAACTGACGGTCAGTCAGTCTGTCTGTCTTGGTGTCGAGCCCCAGCTGGGGCTCATGACCAGATATTTCTTTTGAATGAAAGTTACTGTCTTGTCTATGTGTAGCGCCCTCTCTGATGAGAGGTCGGGTCTGTCATTTGTTAGTCAGTCTGTAGTAATTTGTCCATTGTCTGTATTTACACATATTTACAATACACACTTATTTCTTATATAAATGTACAATATTTACACGGCCTCTGTCAGTCCAGGCTAGGTACAGCAGATTATGCCCTTTTATATATATATATATAAATAAATATCCTAGTAGTATTATAGCTATCACGGCAGTCTAGTCACTTGAACGGTCGTATGCCTGACCGCCGCCAAGTTTAAGCCTCTTATACTTTCTGTGTCGGGCTTCGCCTTGTCCGATGTTGCGAACATTCTCATTATCATGATTTTGTATGACTTCTGCTTGTTGCCTGCATAATTTTGTTATGTAATCATATACGTACGGGATTTTGAATGCCATGTGCAAATCGCGGACCGGTGTGCGCCTTGGAAAATTGCCAATCGTGCGGAGAACCTTGTTTTGCAGGCGCTGCAATTTCACTAGATGAGTGTCTGCCGCAAACTCCCAGGCGGGACTAGCATAAGTCATTACGGATCTAATAAGAGCTTTATGGAGGGTCAGTTTAATGTTAGCGCTCAATCGCTCACTTTTGAATAGGGAATACACTCTAATGAATGTTCTGAAGGCCTTGGCTTCGATCATTTCTATGTGTAATCTCCAAGTCACTCTCTTATCGAAGATTACACCTAGATATTTTGCACTATTTACAAATGGAATATTTCTTCCATTTAGAGTAAGACAAGACTCAGGCGGTCGACAACCACGGGAGAAGTAGACCCCCCGAGTCTTATCTTCATTAATTTTTATATTCCAGCGCTCACACCAGGTCTCCACTGAGCTGAGACCACGCTGGAGTTTTCTAACAATAAAACCCTCTTTGCGATCTGTCGCATACAGACATGTGTCGTCCGCAAAAAGGGCCAAATGAACACCATGAGTTTGGGGGGCATCATTAATATACATATTGAAAAGAGTGGGGGAAAGGACAGAACCTTGTGGCACCCCTGCTTG